GGGAAAATTAGGTACTTCCATGACAAAGAACACCTGAGAAACTTCATGAACACAAAACCAGCACTCCAAACAATTCTAAGGAATATCCTAGAAAAAGAGAATGAAGGTCACAACTCCATGAGGCCCAACAGAGGGAAGCCACCAGGCAAGGTAAGAAACTAAAGAGAAAAGGGGAAAACATAAGAAATAAAAGAGCCAACAACAGCAAAACATCATGACAAGGATGCATTAATATCTATCAATTATAACTCTCAATGTTAATGACCTCAATTCACCAATCAAAAGAAATAGACTGAGAGAATGGATTAAGAAGCAAAATCCAGGAATATTCTGTATGCAAGAAACACACCTAACTCAAAAAGAAATTCATAGACTAAAAATAAAAGGATGGAAAACAGTTCTCCATGTGACAGGAACCCAGAAAAAAGCAGGGGTAGCAGTCTTATTTGCAGACAAAGTAGATTTCAAACTAAAATGAATTAAGAGAGACAAAGATGGTCACTATATCCTTGTGAAGGGAACAATCCAAGGGGAAGAGATGACAATCCTAAATATATATGCACCAAATACAAATGTCCCCAACTATACAAAACAAATATTAATGGACATGAAAAATCAAATAAGCACTAATACAATTGTAATGGGGGACTTCAATACCCCACTATCACAAATAGACAGATCATCTAGACAAAAAATTAACAATGAAATTTTAGAACTGAACCAAGCTATTGAACAAATGGACTTAATAGATGTTTACAGAGTGTTCCACCCCACAAAATCAGAGTACACATTATTTTTGGCTGCACATGGGTCATTCTCCAAACTAGACCACATGCTAGGTCATAGGACATGTCTAAGTAAATGTAAAAGAATTGAAGTTATCCCCTGTATATTATCAGACTATAGTGCAATAAAATTGGAAGTCAATTACATAAGAAACCACAAAACTCCTACAAACACATGGAAATTGAATAACACCCTCCTGAACAACCAATGGGTCACAAAGGAAATTAAAGAAGAAATTAGACAGTTTCTACAAGTAAATGATAATCCCAGTACAACATACATGAATCTGTGGGACACAGTGAAAGCAGTTCTACATGGGAAATTCATAGCAGTGAATGCCCATATTGGGAAAACAGAGAGAACTCAGATAAATAACCTAATGCAGAACCTCAAGCTCCTAGGAAAATAAGAGCATAAGAAACCCAAAGCTCACACAAGAAAGGAAATTATAAAGATCAGAGCAGAAATAATGCAATGGAAACTAAGAATGATACAAAAAATTAATGAATCAAAGAGTTGGGTTTTTGAAAGAATAAATAAAATCAATAAACCTTCAGCCAACCTTATCAAGAAAAGGAAAGAAAAGGCATGCAATTAAGAACAAAAAAGGTGAAGTCACAGCAGACCCAGCAGATATCCAAAGGATCATCAATACATACTTTGAGAACCTGTACTCTAATAAAATGGAAAACACAGAGGAAATGGACAGATTCCTAGATACATATGAATTGCCAAAGTTAAATGAAGAAGATATAGAAATTCTAAACACCC